TGGCCGTCTAGGTGCCACGTGACTCCCGAAAATTGTGCTTATTGCGCAGTAGGCTAGGTCAGGAAGTGTGTGGCCCACTGAGCTGTTCCCTGGAACGTGACAGGGGACAAATCGTCCCGGTAACGCCTGAACTCTGCTTCCACACTGTGGACCAAGGCTCCAGCTGTGGCGAGTCAGGGCGGATGCTGAGGTGGCAGCAGGGAGCCCCCTCCCCTCTGTGACTCCCACCCTCAAGAAAGCCATTCCCAGTGATTAGCAATTAGCATTTGCACCCAAAGTGCCAAGCCCGGTTGCCTAAAGAAAGGTGCTAAGAAGTTAAGAATCTGAGTTAAAGCTCCAAATGGGCCAATTAGCTTCACACAGAGAAACCCGAAGCTCCCTACTGGTTAGCAGGGGAGAGAGGGACAAACGAGGGACCAAGAACAGACTCAGGCCAAGCTCAGCTCTCCGTGGGACAATGCCAAGCACAGGCCCCACCGACTGACAGTCCCCTGCCCACCCTGTGTTCCCCGGGGCAGTCACAGCCACGCCCTGGCCAAGACTCCACGTGTCACCATAGTCGGGAAACAAAAGAGGATCTTCGATGTTCCGGGTCATTTCAGCCCAGATGTGCAAGGCCCTGCAGCAGCCGACACGCTTCCTCCCACAAAGAGCTGCTGCGCCGTCAATGTTTGTGGACTGATAACATTATAAAACAAAAGCCAGCCTATTACCGTTCATTTAAGCTAACGAATTAGGCTGACATGTATGTTAACTTGGTTGGAGCAGGTTGACTCACTCAGTAACATACTGTACTGTGCTAAAAATTCTGCCAAAAGTTTGAAAACTTTTTATTGAATATTTGATTGCTGTTCTATGACAGTTGTCCCAATTTTCCCCCTGCGCTCTCCACGGACCCACCCAACCCCCACTCCCACGGTCAATCCCCACACTGGTGTCCACGCCCATGGGTCATTTCTACCTTTTCCCTGACTAGTCCCGCCCCCTTTGTTGCTCCCTCAGCCCCCCCCTTGTCACCCTCAGTCTGTTCCTTGTTTCTGTGCCTCTGGTTCTATTTTGCTTATTTGTTGTTTTCATGAGATCATATGGCCTTTTGTTAATTATTATATTACTTCAAATTGTCATTCAGAATATAAAGTAGAACAAACTAACAATTATCTTGGTTTATTTGCACTATAGAAAACGATCTAGAAGACTTCAAAGAACTCTTCAAGCTCTGAGAAAGTCTGACGGACGAGAAAAGGAATGAAAAAGGACAGGCTGGCCACCACGGACTTCCCAGATCGGGGGTGTCCAGCTGGTATTCACTCCGGCCTCCTTCACGCTTCCCAGCTGCGCGCAGTGAGGGTGCGTAAATGACGCGCTTCACGTGCCATTCTGTAAGCAGTGCCGTCCCGGGCTGGCTTGGCCTGCCCCCAGCAGAGGCCCTGGACCGTGGAAGATAGTCCAAGTGACGGCTTTTGTCCTGAGAAATGCAGAGATGAGCTTTCATGTGTAACCAGGATCCTTTAACTGACCCAGCATCCCTTGCACGTCTGAGCTGTGACCCTTCCCAGCTGAAATCACATTTAGTTATGCCTTAAAATGTTGCTGGCAGGAGAATGTGAGCCCTCATGCAAATACCAGGGTCTCCAGCACATCATCTGAAGACACCCTTCAAATTCCTCCACGGTCCTGCCTTCTGCACGGCTCTAACAGCCAGAAAGCACAGAGATGAGAATGAATTTGGGCAGCCTGCGTGGTAGCCCCTCCCACCTTTCCTCCCTTCTGCAACCCTGGGAAGTGCTGTTGAAGTCAGGAGGGGCTCCCTAGGAGGGCAGGGCTGCCTGTGGCGGCCAGTGAGCAAAACGTTCAGCTACTTAACACTGGGCCACATGTGGCAGCTCCAAAAGCATCACTAGGATGTGAAACCTGCTACTTCAATGCCATTTCCCTTGCCCCTGAATCTTTTCAAACCCACGGAACCCTGGGAGTGGGTGGACTTGCAGGGAGGGTGGGGAGAAACGTCTTGTGATTTTAGTACCAAATTGGAATGGTACAGTAAATCTTGGACCCGTGTTCTGCTGTTTTTGTTTCACGTGGTCCCGTGAGTCCGCAATCTCGGGCTGCAAGAGTGTTGCATTGAACTCAAAGCCCAGTGGCTCAGGGGAGTTGGAAAGCCAGCCACTAAAATATTAGGTGTTTTACATTAATTGTGAGTCTGAGGAAATAAATGTCAGAGGACTTCCCCCAGGTGTCTTTCTCAGGGTAGGCGCTACACTCATTTAAGTTCTCGAGAGTATAGCTTCCCTCATCCTGTGGACGAAAGGCTGTGTGCATTTGCCCAAAGCGATCTGGGACTGGCTCTGGCTCTTCGCCCGGGCCAGCTACAGATTCAATTCCTACTGTGCCGAGAGAAGAATCGATGGCAAAATGGTCAGTGGCTGCAAATGTCAGGCTTATGTTTTCTCCTCAATGCCACCAGGAGGGGCTCAGAGAGGTGACCTGTTGGGAACTGCCCTGCGTGGTTTTAGAAGCTGTAATCCCCTGTAGCTAAGGCTGAGTGAAGGACCTTGGGACCATAAGCCACTTAGGAGACAAAGCTTATCTTCCTTGTAGGAGCACCGCCTCTGCCCCCTTTCTCTTCACCCTGCTTGGCTCTGGGCAGATGACTGGTTAGCCAATGATGGGTAAGAGTCCTCAAAAGAGGGACAACCCAAGACAGGCATGGTCACAAAGGGGCCCTCAGGGAAGGACTTGGGGGGCTATAGGAAAAGGGGGTGATGGACCCTTGCCCCTTGGCTTTGACACAGCCTGAGTCTTCATTCTGTCTGCAAGAAATCTCCTAATCTCTTGGCTGCCTTACTTCCCCTGCCTGACTTAAGCCTGAAACAATGCTGGAGCTAGGTGTGGCCCTGTGCTGGAAAGGGCGGGTCCCCTAGGGTGATCAGGCCTAAGGAAGAATGCATAAAATCCTATGAGACCTGCTTTGCTAATACCCTCAACTGAAACGATAAGGGTTCAAGAAGGAAATGAGTTTGTTCCCCAAAGTTTTATGGCCCTTTAGCTATCTGACCCTGACTCAGAATAAGCCCTCAGAGTTCTTTGAATGTTAACTATTGTTTAATCATTTCTGCCTGATAGTGATTGATGAGCTTTACATATACACCGGGTATTCCTGTGCAAATTGAACCCAATAAAAGCTTGTCAAGGCAGAGGTCAAGGTGCTCTCCCCTTGAGAGAGTGGCCATGCCACCCTTTTATCTCCACAGGACTCGATGGTCCATGTGAATTTGCCTCATCTCATCCATAATGCTGTGGACAGCATCAGCGACCTCCGTAACCTTCTCTCCCTCGGAGATGTCAGCACTCCAGCCGGCCCTTCCGTGGTGCTGCAGGCAGAGGGAGGAGACGCTACAGGGAACAGTGGGGCACAGCGCTGCCAGCAGAGGCTTCAGCGTCAGTCGGTCCCAGCACAAGTCCTAGTTCTCTCATTCATGAATCCCATGAGCTCGTCTTCTCCGAGCCTCCATTTCCTCACCCGTCAAAATAGGAACCATAGGGCTACTCTACTTCCTTGTGGGAATTAAACAAGGGGGTGCGTGTTACACATGCAGCAAGGCACCCGGCACATAGTAAGTGCTCAATATGTCTGGGCTCTCTTTGCTGGCACTTTCAACTTCCAACCCTGCAGCACTGGTCTACACACTTTTCTCCAGCAGGGACAGAGCTTAAGTCCTCACAGCTGGAAGACAGCTGTGGGGGGCGGGTCAGGGGCAGGCAGCAGTGGCCTCTCCAGGTGGCTCCCAACCTCGCCCCTTCACAGAGCACTAGGAACCTGGCACGTCACAAGGCAGTGTGTCTCTGGTGGCAGCTTCCTCCAGGCCGGGCAGAAGGTACATGGCACACTTCCTCCAGTCTAGAACAACCTAGCCCTGCATTTGGTTAGCTGTATTCATTCAACAAACACTTAATGAGCAGAGAGTAAAGACAAAGCTTGCAGCCTAGAGGGGGTGAGGCTGGTAGAGAAAACGGAGAACCAGGAGGGACTCTCTCAGGGGGTGAGAGGGCGGCTGAGGCCTGAGGCTGAGACCAGAGTTCCAGGCAAAGAGAACATAAGGGCCAGAGGTGGGAAAGGGAACTCAGAAGATCAGGAAACATCGATGAGGCACAGCAAGCATCTGGGGTGGCCGGCCAGTGGCCAGTGGCGAGGGACACCTCTTTCCAGACGCGTCCCCATGGAGCCCACCACCACGCCTGCCCGCAGAGCTGAGAACATGCGTACCAGCAACTCCGAGAGCCTCTACAGCTGTTTACTAGTTCAACTGAGGTACCGTCTGCAGTGAAACTGGCGCAGATCAGACCCAAATCTTAAGTGGTCTCAGCAGTTTTCACACCTGGAAAATGGCCACAGGTAACACTGCCCTGCATGAACCCACATCGCAAGAAAGAGCTGGTTGGGAGGGGGAGCTGGCGGGGCTTCCACTCCCTGCATATTTGCTTTGTCTACAGCCCTCCCCTTTCCTCGGAATTTGTTATTGACAGGTGCAGAAATTCTAAGTTGTACAGTAATTACAAGTAGGCAACTCAGAAACTTGAACTAGTCCTCTTTTTCCCCCGATGCATTCATTCTCCCATTCCTCACCCCAAACCTCTTCCTCTGAGATGCTTCAGCGTAAGAATTTCATGGCCCCAGTGACAAGTATGAAAGACCCAGAGTAGGTGGATGATATTTCACGGCCCCTGAATGCCCTGCATGGAGAGCAATGGACTCTGTTCTCGGGGCTGGGACTAGGCGAGGCACCCAGGAGGCCAAGTTCAGGAAGGCGCTGAACTTGCAAGTCCTGCAAGACCTGCAAACACTACAGTGTGAGCACACAAAACACAGAGTCTATGCTTGTATTATTATTCATTACTGATTGTGTTATTTGTATTACAACTATAAACCTACTTTTTTTCTATTGCTACTATAATAAATGGTCACAAACTTGGCTATCTAAAAAAACATGAAAGTATATTACCTTACAGTTCTGGAGGTCAGAAGCCCAAATTGGTCCTCACAGGGCAAAAATCAGGGTGTCAGCAGGGCTTGGTTCTTTCTGGGGCTGCAGAAGAGACTGCCTCTCGTCTGGTTCAGCATCCGGTGGTTGCCCACAATTCTTGGCTTCCGCCTCTGCTCCTCGGCTGCAAAGCCAGCAAACAACAGTGCTCAGCTGACTTGTTCCCCTGTGGCATCACGCTGGCCCTTCTGCCTCTCTCTTGGTCATTTAAAAACTCCTGTGATTACCCTGGGCCTACCCGCATGATCCAGGATAATGTCCCTATTTAAGGTCAACTGGTGAGTGACTTTAATGCCACCTGCACCTGCATTTCCCTTCGCCATGTGATGGAGCATATTCGCAGTTCCAGGAATTAGGATGTGGACGTCTTTGCCTGCTATAGCTTCATATATTTCTAAACTATTTGTATGTGTTAACATAAATTATATCACTTTTTATATTTTGAGAGTAAGAGATTCAATGCAGTACTTATTAAAGTACCAATGGCATATTTCACAGACATAGAACAAACACTTCAAAAATTTATATGGAACCATAAACGACCCCAAATAGCAGCTACAATTCTGAGAAAAAACAAAGTAGGAGGGATCACAATACCTTATATTAAACTGCATTACAAGGCCACTCTAATCGAAACAGCCTGGTACTGGCATAAAAACAGGCGCATAGACCAATGGAACAGAACAGAGAGTCCAGAAATAAACCCAAGTTTCTATAGTCAATGAATACTCGACGAAGGGGGCAGTAACATAAAATGGAGTAAAAATAGCCTCTTCAACAAATGGTGCTGGGAGAACTGGACAGCTACGTGCAAAAAAATGAAACTTGAGCACCAACTTACACCATATACCAAAATAAATTCAAGGTGGATAAAAGAATTTCGTAGGTGTTTAATTTTAAAGTTGTGAAGGTTTAAACTTACATTTACATTATGATGCGAACAAGTGTGATGTTGCAGGATTGGACGAATGGAATATTCTAAAGAACCAGCACGTGCAGACAGGTAGCACATTGCATTGGACAAAGCCTGCATTGCAAACCACAGAGACAAAAAGTGAACCCCTTACAAAATGAACCCGTGAGTGCTGCTGGAAAATAAAAGGTTTGAGCTTTTCCTCACACTACACACGCAAATAAATCACCCATGGGTTAAAGATTAAAGCTTAAAAAAAGAAGAAAATGTCAGAAAATAGACTAGCAATATTGGGGTGGCGAAAGGCTTCCTTATACTTCAGTTCATAAAGCAAAACTTGGTAATATTAAAACAAAACAAAGTAAGAAGATAAGCGACAGAAAAAGAATATTTGATAAAGTGTAACAAAGAGCCCATAGAGATCTTTTGAACGCACTATAGAAAAATGAGCAAAAGACATGAACAGGACACTTCTCAGAAGAAGAAATGTAGAGACAGTGAGTAAATAAAACCACATTCAAACTTGCTGATAAGGAAAAGCTAATTCCAAGGAGAAGACGAGGCTCTCCTGCAGGTACACCTCGTTGGTTAAGGACCGAGCCCCTGGGTGTGCTCTCTCCCCTGCCCACACCTCTCTCCCTCTCTGGAGGGCACCTTTGCTTTTCTCTCCTGAACTCCAAGGGTCCCCACGAGACTGCCTACACAAGGGCAGCGGGCAGCAGCAGGTGAGTGGGCTACGCCCCTCCGCCTCTCTCCATTGCTGTGACTTCCCACTGACCAGCAGCAGCCCCGCCGTGGCTCCCTTCTCTCCTCTAACCCTCCCGAGAGGCAAAGCAGCCCCAGCCAGGCACTCTCCTGCTGCTGCTTCTATCCTAAGCTCTTCCTTGCTTCATTGTCTGCAGCTTTAATAAATATACTCTAAAAAAAAAAAAGCACTTAGACTCCAGCGTGCCAAACCCCCTGGGTTTGACGCCAGGTTCTGCTGATCACTGGCCCGTGGCTGTGGGCAAGTTACTTCACCTCCCTGTGTCTCGGCTTCCCTACACGTAAAACGGGGATTGCCAAACGTCTTAACTCCTCGTTGCAAAGACATAATCAGTAAGTATGTGTCGAGTGCTTAGAATGTTGCCGGACACAGAGTAATCAATGTTAGTCCCGCAGTTCATTACGACATGAGCACAAAGGCGCACACACACAGGCAGGCTCAGGAGCTCAGGGCCATATCAGTTGCCACAGCAAAAACCTGGAGGTGACTGTAAATGACATCGGTAGGCAGTGAGTAAATTAGTTTTTTACCTCCAAAACCTGGAATGATGATTAACTATTAAAAAGAATGAGAAAGGTCTGGGCCCCAATACAGAAAAATGTCTATGATAAATTGAGTGGGGAAAAAAGCAAGTGGCAGACTTCTCCAGAATGTACACTCTTTAAATATGCAATATGTATTTAATACACACATACATACATAGCTGTGTGTGCACATGTACAATATGCACAGAAAGGTTATGAACATCTGATTTGTTATCAAAGTGTTAGCAAAGATCCCGAAAGGGAGGGACGCAGGAATGGGAGGAGGGGCAAAGGGAGAGTTTATCAAATAAACATCTACAGTGTTCTGGTTTTTTTGGTAAATGTAAGCATGTATTGTTCTAAAAATTAACAAACAAACAGGAATCTTGATGGGTTAGACTAACTCCCCAAAACACTGCCACAGAAACAATGGTAAGCAGAAGAAAATCATGAAGTCAGCTTGTTCTCCAAGGAAAGATAGAATGGTCAGGAACGGCATTAGTTAGTTATGCTTTGAAGAAGGCCCGGTTAGCTATGGTTTTCACACACTTCGAATGCAGGCTACAAATGTCCAAGCCACACATCTTTCAAGCACAAAGATGGCAATAAATCGCCTCTGTTAATTGTTTCCACTGTCCGTAACATTGTGTAAGTTTTACAACCCCAGGAAAAGAATGCTTTAAAAACTCAAATGCCGGACCTTCGATGTTACTTAGATGACATAAACAAATTAAAATAAGACCAGCCTAAGCCAGTTGTGTTGATTAACCTGATCCCCCCTGAAAAGGAGAAGTGAAGTCCAATGCCCTTTAATACTGTTTATTAGTGGAGTAATGTAATACATTTTGACAAGCTGAACAGTTGTAACAGGCGGCTGCTCCAGTCTCTGCAGGGCTGTTTCTAATGAAAACAGGAGTGAGAGGCAGCTCGGTGACTGGGCTTTAGGAACGGCTCAGCCATCCACCGAGTCCCAGCCAAGTACTTCTATGCAGCCGTTTACGTGGGGAATCCCCGAGGGTCTGCCGCCGCCGACCGCCGCAGCTCATTAGCGCCCGATATCCAACTTTCCTCGTCGTGACACTGAAAGCGTTTGTGCTTAAAATGTAATTAAACTTAAAACAAACAAGGACTTCATTCCCTGACAGTTCCGCTATTTTTAAATTGACAAAGGCATGAACTTAACATGGGATTATTTAGAAAGCGCTGTACACTTCATCCACTCACGGCAAGACATTTGCCCAGCGCCTCGTCCTGCATGCAATTAGAAATCTAAATACTTGGGTAACGGGCTCCTACTGGGAATTAAACTTGCAGATCTCTTACCAACGAGTAATGTGGTGAGACTCGCTGTCCAATGAGGTGTCTTATTGAAATATCCCAGGCCGCCTCACTTGTCACAGCTGTCGTCTCGGCCGCTTGCTCTCACAGTGTACAGCTTTCATTACGAAAATAGAAATTTGTGTCCTGAGTGCTGTTACATTACTAATGCTAAATATTTAATTCCCTGGGGTTCCAATTATGGTTGAGCACTGGCAACACTGATTCTACTTTTTAATAACAACTGTAAGAGCAATTTGAGCATTTTTCAATTAACTAAATACATAGTGAGCGAGTAACCTCTTGTCATTTTGCCCTCCAGGACCTGAGCTAATTGGTGTAGAATAAAATGTTTTGAAAATTAACTGATATTCCGGTCTGCACGCTGTTATACCATTAAATTACAGTTTGAGAAATGAAGTTTGTCTTCTAATAGTTACCCTCAATATAGTTTGCAGATGTGAGAAAGTACCTGTGTTTTATGTACTTAACGGTGCTTCTAATTAGAGCTGAGTGGAAAGGCGAGAGCGGTTCCTCTAAACACCAGTCAGCGCCAATAATACTTTGCATTGTTCACAGATAAAGGCAGCGGATTCCAAGGGAGGGAAATTTTCCCAGTTTCATTTACTACGTGTATTCACAATTTGGCTTCAACATTTTAAAAGTTTGCCATGAGAATTCCTGTCGTTAATTACAGTCACATAGAAAGTTCAAAAATAAAATGTTAGACCTCTTTCCCAACAGAAAGTTCCAAATCAGACATCTGGGAAAATCCTTCCTTTTTAAACACTTTGCTGTGCTTTCTCCCTCTACCAGAGAAACAACGTCATAAACAAGCTCTGAATTGGTTTTTCCCTTTTAAAAGTACGGTGAGGATGAATCATAAAAGCAGATGCCGTTCTACCCACATTTTAAAATGAATTGTTTTTCTGCAGTGCAATGAAATCTGATTAAAGAGACCATCTCCTTGTAGAAAAAACGTCTCCTGACAGGTGTTCCTCAGCTTCGAGTCTTGATTGGTCATAATCTAAAATCCATGCTCAGAGAGCGAATACCTTTTTGGCAGCTGTCCTCTTAACAGAGATGATCCCCAAAACAGGTTTCACCGAATTAGGAATCTTGGCAAAAGCATTTCGGCTCATGGAGGAAGACACAGGGAGGGAAATTAATCACTCTGGGAGAGAGGGGGGACATAATGGGGAAAATTTCATTATCTCCATGCCAATCTTTAGGGTTTAAAGCTGTAATATTTCTAAGATTTTAGTAACATCTTTGAGAAGTGACTTTTAATTACAGAATGAACCTGGTGGTGCCAGTCTGTTAATATAAGTAAATCAGCCTAAATTTCTAATTTTTAAAACCAAACTGAATAATGAGAACATTTTAGAGTTGGAGTTGGGTTGACTTCTCAGGGAGTGATTGCCACGCCATCAGCAAACACACACACACACACTAATAATAAATATATAAATTTGCTTAAGGTTTATTTAAATATTATTCTATATGTAATGTAACATCTTAATAGACCTTCAAAATCATTGGCTTAATATAACCTTATCAATAAAAATTCTTAACACAAAAAGCCATAAAATTGGTTAAAGGCATTAAGTCCGGTTATGCAAATTTTTTCACCAACGACTATTTTTTCCAACCCAAAGAACAGTTACATTCTAAAATCTAAAAGTAAAAATGAAGAAAACCTATGCTTTCGTTACACATCATACAGATATCGTTTGCATGAAGAAATGAGTCATAATTTATTCCAAAACAGTTTGAAAAACAGTGCCTGGACCTGGAGGGTCAGCCTCTCTCCTGGGTCCCGGCTCCTGCGCTCTGTGCTCAAAGCTCCCCGGGCTGGGGCTGGGCTCCAAGGCAAGGCTCCTCCCTTTCCAGTGAAGGACTGGCTTTGCCCACAAGCACTTGGTTGGCACCTTGGCCGACTCTTCGGAGACCAGGCTGCCCCTGCACTGGAACAGCGCTGGACTTCGACCTGACTGGTTCCTTTGGGGACAGACTGTCCCTACTGCGACTGTGCTGCTCAGCCTTCGGTCCGGCTTTTCTGAAACTGAACTGTGCCCAGCGCAGCTGTGTTGGTATTTGGCCTGCGGGCTGTGCAGGCTTTGGCTCTGCGGAAGCTGCTGAGGAACAGGACCCCAGTTATGGAAATACTTTGCGGGCCACCGCCCGACCGAAGCCCTGCAGCCTCCTCCTGCGCATTTCTCCGACCTACAGAGACCAATTTGAGCAAAAGTAATTTCAAATCCCCCAGACTTTCTGTTCTTGAAACCGAATTGGACAACCATAGGCCAGAAATTGTCAAAACTGAATATTCCTATTGGAATTCTGAGGCTTCCAAATATTACTAGGAGTTTCAACTTGCCTCTGCGAAATAAAGTTTTAAGACTCACTGAAGCCAACAGTGATTAAAGAAAGACAAAAGGGCCCTGAAGCCTCATGCCCCTGCCCCGCTCTCTGTCTCAGGCAACCCCCCCTTCCTCCTTCTCTGAACCCCTCAAAGCCTGTCCCTTTCAAAGCAAGCCTTCCAAGGACTGAAAGGCTGAAGCCCCAATTTCTTACATTCCCTGGACTAAAATACAGCAACACTGTAAACCATAGTCAAGGATCTTCCTCAAGGAGCTGGGGATCCCCACCAGTGTGCTGAGGAATCGGAATGTACCGGCCTGATTTCTCTGACTTAGACTCTCAAGGTCTCTGGGATTACAGCCAGAGGCTAACCTGTGGATTTATTTATGATACAATGAGGTTTGTGCAATTGCTGAGCAACCTCATGGGGCAATTCCTAGGGCTTTTGCAAAGCCTGTTGAATGGAATAAAACTTAGGCCTTGCTCACAAAAATTAGATGAGCAACCTATTTAGGACTACCAAGACCAACTTCAAATTGTTTTCAAAGAGAACTCGGGTCTTCCTTCCGATGCCGATTCCACTCACACAGCTTTTCAGCTTATTAACTGAGTGCACTGAGACCTTCCTCTTGTAGTTAATAGGGCCGGGGTGAAATGAAAGGCCACGCACGTCCAGCCTGGTTTTGGTGGGTCTGGCAAGCCAGATTGAGTCACCTTAACGAGAAAGCACTAAAATTCTGAATTTTCAGCTCTGACAAACAAGGTCCTTATTCACACCCCAAAACAACAGCCTGCTGTCATTGCACGGAGCCAGGCACTGGAAAGGAGATGGTCGAGAACTTCAGCGAAACTTTAGCGTTTCGGTGTCTTTGGCCTTCTAGCCAACCCTTCAGTGGCCTCCTAATTCCCAGTGACAGCCTCCCAGCACCTAGAGGGGCTCTTCGGCACCCCCCTCCTAATCGGCTGGAAGAAACCACTCTCCGGATGGGCAATGAGTCTCTCTCTGTCCTTATTCGCACTCTGGGTGCCCAACCCCAGTGCTTCAAAGCTCGGGGGCCTTGGAGCACCCCATCAAACAGTGGGGGTCTCTAACCCCCTCCACATTTTAATTTGGGCCCTGTGAGAGACATCGGCTCTTTGCTCCTTGGCTCCTCCCCTACGCCCCTTCATTTATCAGGTGGAGACTTCTTAGAAAAGTATCGTGCAGCAATTTCTTTCTGCCAACAGGGGGGAATAATTCTGGAATTTGACAGGAGTCATCAAAATGGCCAATCGGATGAATCAAATGACTCTTGACATCTTTTCTTTGCTTCGTTTCTGAAGGCACCATAGCCGAGTCTGGGAGCACTGATCACTGGTCTTTTTCGAATCAGCTATCATCCTCTTTACGGCCAAAATCTTCAACCCACACTAGCAGAATCTACAGTGCCCCTCCAATCAACACTGCCATAGATCTCTCAAAATCTCTTCTCTAAATCCATCAGTGCCTCATAAACAAAGAAGTCCTTCAAGGCAGAAGGCACGTAATGAATGACTACAGGACTCGGGGCCCCATTATCTCGTGCACCAGTTCCTGTAATACTCCTACCTTTCCTGCCCCGAAATCCGAGGGCCAAGGGTGGAGGGTCGTCCAGGACCTTTGCACCTGACCGGCATTGTCATCTCTCCGCACCCCACTGTTCTGAATGCCACTGTCATCTGTCCCAACCAAAAGGAAACGCTTCCCTGCCATCGATTCATGAGGAGCGGTCTTTCGCACTCCAGTTGCCGGAGCTGGCCAATACCTCTTGCCCTCACTTGGAAAGGAAAACCATTCACCTGGACGGTAATGGCTCGGGGCCATGAGAGCCCATTGAGAGCCCATCTTATTTCTCACAAATCCTGAAGGCCGATCTGGATGAGACGGAGCTCCCTGCGGGTTTCATTTATTGCAGAATGTCCACAACTTGCCTCTTTGCTTTCCCCAAATTGCCCACAGGAAGATACCAATCCAACTGCTAAAGAGTTTAGCCTTGAAGGGACATAAGATTGCCAAGGAAAAAACTGCATTTGCCCAAACCCCAGTTGGAGATTTAGGGCATCTCCTATCAGCACAGGGCTTCACCTAGATCCAGGTGGGCTTCGTGCTGTCACCTAGATCCAGGTGGGCTTCCTGCTGTCCTGTTTCCTCAAAGCCAAACTGAGCATCAGCTACAAGCCCTCCACGGGCGCGGTGGTGATCGCCCAAACTGGACCCCTATGGCCAAAGCTCTGTGCTTCACTGAAGAACGACAACCCTGACCCGATTTAGTGGGAAGAACGGGATGACGTAGCCTCTAAAGGTTTAAATAAGATTGTAATGCACCCACCCGCCTTTAGATGTCTCAATGATTAGATTCCCCTTTTCCTTTTTTGTGTATGAAAATGAGGAAATGCTTTTGGGGTACTTACCCAGAACAAGGGGACCGACATCCAACCACAGGGTGTGAGAGCCAACACCGGACCCTGTGGCACCTGGATGTGGCCCTAGCCTTACAGGCATCACTGCCACTGCCCTGTGGTCACGGCCACCCAGGAAATCAGCACACCCCATGCAGTCAAAGGCCTCCGAAGCCCCATCACACCAACGCTGTCCAGTCGGCTGCCTCACCTTCTACAAAATCCTCTCGTGAGCTGCTCCTCACATGACTCTTTCATGCTGTAATAACATTAGCCCCTTACTCCGTTACTGACAAAGCCCCTCACAGAGCCCAACACCGACAGGTCACCTCCTGGCTGACCCCTCATGATGACCTGCAGGAAACCCCGTGGAGTCACCGACTTCTCATTATGCCAACAGCTCTTACTGCGCAGGTGACCATGGCGAACATTGGGCCACACGTGCCACATCAACACCCTCTGATAGAACTGAAGTAGCACCTTGGCCTTTGGCTGCTGCGGCCCGGAACTATCTGCACTCACACAGGCCTGCACCCCGGCTGCGGGTGAGACCGCCAGCGTTCTCACTGATAGCGCGGATGCTGTGGGAGTAGCTCGTGGGTTTGGAACGCTGTGGAAGCAACATTCCTCACTTCCGGTGGTAGCAACATTAAAAGTGGCCGGTATGTTCGGAAATTACTGGGTGCTGCATCTGACCCGCTGCATTCCAAACCTGACCGCCTGGAAGCGAAGGCAAGTCACCTGCTGACACTTTAGCAAAGCATGCGGCCCTCAAAGGACCCGACACCCATCGAACCCCCGTCGTGGTCCGAAGGGATATTCCCCACAATAATAACTCAGAAAAACTAGCTAGAGAGGCCCAACCATTGGCCTCAGGAAAGGAAAAACAGGATTGGAAATCCAGCTGTTGGATAAAAAGAGCTACGTGTTGGGCCAAATAAGAACCGGTCCCAGCCGGGACTGTAAAATCCCCACCGCTAACTACTGCTGTGTGCGTATTAGACCACTGTCCACCGGCAAAACAAGAGCGTGTGTGCAGTGAGACTGGTGGGAAAAGGTGAATAAGGGCACGAAAGAGCACCTACCTCACTCGTCCCACTTGTCCGAAGTACAACTCGAACCCCGGAAAACCTGTCTGCACACTCCCGGACGTATTTCATCGCCTAACGGATGACTTGAGGTTTGGCAAATAGACTTCGTACTGCTTCCTCCCCCAGCTCACGGGCAGGTGTGTTCCGGTCTTGGTCTGCGTGTTTGCTCACTGGCCTGAAGGTTCCCCTTGTAGGCAGATGACACCTGAGGAGAGAGCTTTCCCATGATGTTCAGACCGGGCCATTTAGAAGGTTTAAAAGTTACTGAAGTCTGTCTTTCACCTGGATCCTTATCCAAAGTCATTGTCTCTGATTTGCGAGCTGCAGGCTTATTATTGATAAGACATTTTGTCCCAAAGCATTTCTTCCGAGATGACAATATGTTTAATTGCTTCATGTTTTCCTCTTGTATTGTGTCTTCCCAAAGCATTCAATGCTTTCAGTTCTGCGTGTACCTTTGCTATGTCAATATTCTCAGCTACAGACTTTAGATGGAAAATGCCCGAACGATCTCCCTTCTGTTCCTCTGTTACTCAAATGGAACCACAGTGGGTTTCCCACCTGTGCACCTTCCCTCCAGAGTGAGACATGACACCCAGGAAACGTCCTTCCTGGCATTGAGGGACAAAAGGCCTCTGAATCCAGAAAAATTGAACTCTTGATCAGCAGCACTTTCAGAGACAGATCTTGACCAGAAGGGGGAAATGTGAAAACAGATAAATAAACCTTATCCTCCCCTAAAATGCAGTTGGTGGGGTAGAAGGGAGAAGACTCACATATGTCACTCAATGCACAAGACTGACCCCATAGGGAAGAGTGGTTTGCATCTCCACAGGATGGGGTGCTACCTTGCTCCCTCAGCAGGGAGAAGAAAAGATTCCTCCTAGCCAGTAACAGCTCAGCCAATGGGAAGCCACTATAACATAGCCAAAGAAAAGTCACTGTTCTTCAAACTTTCAGTTTCCTCCGATAGATTCTTCACTCATAGTATCTCCTCCCAAGTCCATAAAAGAACACTCCTCTCCTTTGTTCTCAGAAGTTGCATGTGGCCTGCATTAGACTGCATGACCCAAGATGCAATTCTTTGTCATTCCCCAATAAACCCATTTATCTGAAGAAATATCTGGCTATTTGTTTAAGGTCAACTTAACGAAAGCCACTATATTTGATCCCAAGGGTCCCCACATTACTGCACCCAACTGAGCAGGTGACCCTCAGATCCCAGTGGGCCATCTTCCCCCTGTCCCTGCAGCAACAGAATCATTGAAAGCTTCAGATGAGAGACTTTCCCCCCTGAGGGGTCACATGCCAATCAAGTTTCCCCCCTCTTGCTCTGGAAGATCTGACACTTCAAATTCTCAGGAGAGCTGGCAGCCCCAGTCTGCACACTGAGAACTAAGTCTCAGCTGTTACCTACCAATATGATTACTAGTGGGGGCTAATGGGAGAAACCCACTGGTGTTGGAAGCATAGGATCCGGGCCCAACCCCGAGAACGCTAACAATGGTATGACCTTGCGCAGGTCACTGGATGCCTCTGCACCTCTGGTCTCCTGGTTCTGACGTGGGGGACAATACAGTTCCTTGGCTGTTCTGAAGATCCAATGAGAAAACACAACAAACACAGGGAGAAGGGGTAAAGAACCAGGGTCTAGCGTGCACCTGCCAGCACCTTTAACAAAGCCTTTTCCATTGTTTTATTGTGCAAGAACCTAAAGTAAAAAATGAATGTCACACATCCATAATAATGTGCATTTAAAAAGAATCATTTGCCCTGGCTGGTGTAGCTCAGTGGATTGAGCACGGGCCTGCATTTGATTCCGTCAGGGCACATGCCTGGGTTGCAGGCCAGTTCCCAGTAAAGGACACATGAGAGGCAATCATACACTGATATTTCCCTCCCTCTCTCTTTCCCTTCCCCTCTAAAGATAAATAAATAAAATCTTTAAAAGTAAAAAGAATAATTTAAAAAATAAAATAAAATAAAAAGAATCATTTAGGACTCTACAGTTTTGACTAAAGGTGCTTTTTTTTTTTTTAAAGAATTAAGGCTTTAGCTTTACTCCCAATAAATTACAAGCCAAAAGAACGTATGTTTATCAATTTATTTTTTTAAAGGAAAAAGCACTAATAGAATAAAGAAGGGAAATGAGTAGGCTATTATCACCATATAGGCATAATTTCATAAACTATGAACTTAAAATAAAATCTGTTTTCAACCTTTTTTTCTAAAGATTGTCCCACCAGCCACCTTAGTTCCCAGACCCACAGCCCAGAGCTCCCCCATCCCGGCCAGAGTGAGCTCCCGGGGACTCGGTGAAGCGAGAGCGTGTTGAAGGGACACATCACAACAGAGATCCCCCGTCACATCACCCAGCCTGGGTGAACCACGCGGACAGCTGGTGTGGAAGAGCTGGCATGGAAGGGAACGAAGATTTCCAGGGAAACAAGCCCTGCTTACGGTTAACATGCAACTGCCAGTTCCTGGGTCTCAGAGGGCCTTTATCCTGCCTGCCTACCCAGGGGGGGCAAAACAGGGTTAAAGCTGTATGTGAAACATGGAGTTTATTCTTGCACTGTTATTTGTTGATTATTGTATTATCTTCCATGAGAACAACTGTAGACCAGCCTTCGCCCCACCCTGTATTAGAATAAGCTCTATCACCTGGTCTACAAGTCCACGAAGCATCAGGGCAGCAATGTCAAGGGCAGATGGAGGGTTACAGGTGGGCCAGCGAGAATACAGCTGACAGCAATGGAAACAGAACTACTCTAAGAAATGCCAATGAATAGTTAAAAAAAAAAAAAAAAAAAAAAAAACTAAAACAAAATACTTAAGTCCTTTAATGGGAGCTGAGTTTTACAGTCAATTCTCACTGGTGACCACGAGTTACCATCAAGGTTCAGGGAAACTCCTATAGTTTTCAAGACAAGAGGGGAAGTTATAATCCAATTTTAAAAGGTTTCCATCACAAATGATCAATGCTAATTTTTTTATTACATTAATAAAACTTGGCTATCTTGAATAACCCACACCCTCAGGGTTCCACAATATCATGGTTTTGCTGTAGGTAGATAGTTTTATAGTTAATGTACCATGGTATAAATAAATATAGCTTAGCTTAAGTGTTTCCACTGAAAATATGTCATAAAATGACAAGTATAATAAATTAGGTCAATAACCAAACCCATGACATCAAAATAAACTAGAAAGAGTCCTCTTCCAAACTAATAATAAATTTATTTAAAATGGACCTTCAAAATAAAAAGCTAACTGTCCAAAGGTAAATGGTGAGAAAGGAAGTGTAAAATTGCTCACTTAAACCCTACTGATGAAATCCAAATAATATGCATATTTCTACACCCATGAGAAGCGGCTATCGGAAAACAAACCTGGCTTTTGCACCTGTATGATGATCGAGTAATTTTCTATACCTCTCTCATTTGATCTCATATCATAAAGACATAGTAGGTGCTCAATAAATTGTTGTTGAATTGAACTATATTCCATTAAGTGGCTTGGACGTCATATGGATAAAAGGTGGCAGCTAGCGGGAAGAATACCAGCTGAGGGTGGCGTCGGACACACAAGACACAAGCAAAGGGGAGAGTCTGAGATTTTAGAGGAAAGTGCCCCCGTGTTGGCCGTGAAGCACACGCCAGACGATGGCACCTGGGGCAAAGGCTGCCGGCTGAACAAGGCCCGGTTCAGGGTGGCTTGAGGCGTGGGAGACGGTGCTCACCTGAAGGCACTCAACCAAGCACCAGAAGGTGACAGGGACAAAGTCCCAGCCTCACAGTTCGCCTGGCACTGCAAGGGCAGAGGGAGGTGACAAAGTCTCTGCGTGTCATCAGCAAGCCTTCTGCACCACCCCTGGTGCCCATGATGCCTGAGTCTTAGTAAAGTCCATTGTTTCAGATATTCGTTACATGGCTACTCAGTTTGGGCATTTCATAGAGTGTATATGCTCACAGAAGCTGGCAAGTCTGCCTTCAACGTCTGCTGGCTTAACTTACAATTGCTCTACTGTCTACCACTCTATTAACTGAAAGGTACTAGTAACCTGTGCCGTTTGTCCCCCTGGGCTGTAAGTCCAAGACAGTATACCAGACGTAGGACACTGGTGTCCTCTAGGTGCCCAGCCTTACCCAGTTTATGAAAAGCTTAACTCCATTCTTCACGTCCCATCAAAACACGGGCAGACACCGCTAAAATTACAAAGTCTCCTCATGGCGAAGTTTTGGTCCTCAAATAGTTTCAGAGTAAGAATCCATCTGTCTGTCTCATAAAGCACTGGGTCACATTCTAATTTTACAAACACCTACACCACGGTCACTGCTTGTAAAGTATCTTTCGTGCTGCATTTCATGTCTCGGCAACTGATTGGTGAGCAGGAGCAGATGACTCATCATTTATGCTCTTTTAGAGAAAAAACACCCAGGGATTTAGAAACTCTAAAGGCAAACCTCGCAGAGCCTCCAAGGCTATTTAGAGACCGGGCTGAAGAAGGGACACATTCTTCCCCCCCCCCCCAGCAGGGCTTGGCAAACCGCAGCCCGTGGACTAAATCGGGCCTGCAGCCCGTCTTCGTCAACGGTTGTGGAACACTTCTGTAAAAGTGTCATTGGAACCCAGCCACACCCACTGTCTAAGGCTGCTTTTGCGTTGCAATAACAGAACAGTCGCAACAGACACTGTCTGGCCCACAAGGCCTAAAATATTCCTACATGGGCCTTCAGAGGAAAGGTTGGCCAAGCCCTGCTTCAGAGGGTCTCTCTGAGGACGGACATCCCAGGAATCTGCTTCTACCCTGGACAGCTGCCTCCCCACCCCCACCCCTGCTCTCCCCCAATCCTGGGAGGCCCAGATGCTGACTGCAGTGCTCCTTGGTAGTCCCCCCGACCTCAGGGCCTAAACCACATCCCCTTTCCAGCTGTGAGAGGCCCAGGGAAGAGACAGGGCCAAGGCACTGTCAGAGGTGTGGCTGCATTTAACTTCTCTTGGCAGCTCCACACTCACGCCGCCCTGGCTGAGCACCTGGGCCTGCCCGGCCTGTGCACCTGACCTCAAGGAGGGGGGAAGAGGACGTCAGAGGATGTGCGGGATTTCACCAGAGAGTGAGCCTTGTACACGAAAGAGGTGGGAGAAGCCCAGGTCCCAGGTGGCAGTGTGGGGTCTCTAGGAAAACCAGCTGCGTGAGACAAG